CACAACACACACACACTGTTTAAGCATACATATATACAGACATATATTCGCTTATTCACCTAAAAGATATAATTTTCCATATCCGTCTAAAAAGAAATAAAAAAAAAAGAAATATTTTAAAACAAGAACATCACCCATTCATCACACAGTTACCATGCAGTCATCACTTACTCATCACACACTGCCCAGTCACCACAAAATCACACTATATCCAGCTACAATATAGGCATCACAAAATGTCCAGTCACCACACTCTTGCTAATCACCACGCAATCACCACATCTAAATCAGCCATTCCTGAATCACCACGCATACATCACCCACCCATTTCTCCAGTCACCCACACAGTCACCACACTCACTTCCCAGGCACAACGAATCACCACGCCCGGCACTCACCACACACTTACTACCAAAGCACCCCCCTCACCACCCAATCATCACACATTCACCACCAAAGCCCACCCACTCATCACACCATACAAAATCACCACAAAACGATCACAATCAGCACCCAATCACCACGGAGTCACCACCCTTTCACACCCCAATCACAACGCACTCATCACCAAGGAGTCACCACCTTTCCCCCTCCCCCTCACCACCACCAATCACGCCCACTCCCCCCCCCCAATCACGACCCACCACTCACCCCCTCCCCATCACGCCCACTCACCTCCCCCAATCCCCCCCATCACGCCCAATCACCCTCAATCCCCCCCCCCCATCACCACCCACTCATTCCTCCTCCCCAATCACGGACCCACTCCCCCCCCGCCCCACTCACCCCACCCCCCCCCCATTACCACCCACTCACCCCCCACCCCAATACCACCCCTCACCCCCCTCCCCACTCACCCCCTCCCCCAATCACAACCCACTCACCCCCCCCCCAATATCCACCCACTCACCCCCACTCACCCCCCCCCAATCACGACCCACACCCACCAAAACGTCAAATCAAGAATGGTGGACCGTCAGGGCTGTGAAATATTTAATAAATAGGGCCTATGCATATTCATCATTTTCCCCAGCGTGACGAGCAACCAGTGCTGGAGGTCAAGAATTAATCATGGGCGAGGAGAGAGAGAGGGAGAGAGGGAGAAAGGAGAGAGAGAGGGAGAAAAGAGGGAAAGAGGGAGAGGGAGAAGAGGGAGAAAGGGAGAAAGGGAGAAGTAGGAGAGGGAGAAAAGGAGGGAAAGTGGGAGAAAGGAGGAAAAGAGGGAACGAGGGAGAAAGGATTAGGCGAGAGAGAGGGGGGTGGGAAGGGAGAGGGAAAGACGGAGAAAGGAAAGAGGAGAAAAGAGGACTGAGAGGGAAAGAAAGAAAATGGGAGGAGAGAGGGTAGAAATGGAAGAAAGGAAAATGAGAATGGAGTAGAGATATGGCGAGTAGAGGAGAGAGATAGTGGTGGTAGAGAGGAGTG